ATTTGGGACGCTGTGTAAAATGTACTAAAAATAGAATGCAATAATTTGCACATCTCCTAAACCCATATTTTATTCACAATGTTTAAACTGAGAAAATGATCCATTTAAAAGAAAAAAAAGGTAATTTTGAAAGGCTCCAGGCCTTTTTGGAGTCATTTCATTGTAGCTTCGGCATAACGCTTGGAAATTATAATAGGTTGATGTTCTGCTTTGATTGAAAACCTGGTGCAGAGGTGGTTTTCATAATGTAGTAGTTTCTACATGGAGATGCAGTGCGTTTATTACCCCGCCCTATAATTTGGTCACGTGTGGTAATAATAATGCCCGGATGAATTCTGCACTGTTTTGCAGTGGATCTGTGTAAGCTCTGTTGGCAATAAACCCTTTATAATGTGACACGCTGCTGTAAAAGGACAAGAGGCACAACCAAAGAAACGTGAATTGGAAACATACACACGACTTCTTGCACAGTAGTTGTTTAGGGGCAGCAGAAGATCAGTTGAATCTTTCTTGGAGTGCTTCTGACTGGTTCTTTCTCCTCTGATGGAGGTGTACATATAAACGCACACATAGGAATTGTTTGGTCAACATTCCAGGAGAGGAGTGGCAGGAAAATGCTTGTTTGTGGCATTGTACATCTAATAGCTGGTTTAAAAATGATGCAGCAGCTTTTCTTACTTTTTTGCCTTCCTTATCAAAGTTCCTGTTTTGTTCTTGCTGCTTGTAACAGTGGCAAGACTAAAGCAATATCTGGTTGCTGTGGCCAGCAAGAAAAGTTCAAACATTGAAAGGAGTAGGACATAGAAGTGGAATGTAGCTTTAAATAACCGAGGTACTTTGGTGGATGGGACTTGACGGGTGTTGGGGGGGCAATGCAAATGTCCTAACTCCTTCTTCTTTTTTTTTTTTTTTTTTATGGTTGATGGTGTGTGTGGTGTTTTTTGGTTTTTAGGAACTTTTCTTCCATATACTAGTAAAATCTTTGCTTGGCAAAGTCTATCTTACCTCAAGATGAAAAATTGTGCTATATTGCAACTTACTAAGGATTTTCAGATACCAGTGCTGATACTGGGCATTTTCAGGAGAACTACAGCAGCTGGGACCTGGCTCTGGCCCTCCACCACTGTCCTGATATCATCAGTCTGTATTGTTTTGGAAATACTGTCGCATGACAATAAACAAAAATGTATCCGTACTTGTATCTGTGAGTACTTAGACATGTATCAGTACTTCTAAAAATGGTGTGTGTGTTGGGTGTTTCGTAAAATTTCTTTGCTACTAAATATTCCACTGTCACCTGTTAGTGGTTTTATAACAAAGTGGAAGCAACTCGGCCACGGAGTGGTAGGCCACTTAAAATGACAGAGCAGGTTCAGTGCATGCTGAAGTGCACAGTACACAGAAATCGCCAACATTCTGCAGAGTCAATGGCTACGGACGTCCAAACTTCATGTGGCCTTCAGAGTGGCACAACAACAGTGCGTAAAGAGCTTCATGGAATGGGTTTCCATCGCTGAGCAGCTGCATCCAAGCCTTACATCACCAAGTGCAATGCAAAGCAGCGGATGCAGTGGTGTAAAGCTCAACGCCACTGTACTGTAGGGAACTGGAGACGCGTTCTCTGGAGTAACGAATCACACTTCTCTGGCAATCCGATTGACGTGTCTGGGTTTGGCGGTTGCCAGGAGAATGGTTTTTGCCTGAATGCATTGTACCGAGTGTAAAGTTTGGTAGAGGGGGGGATTATGGTGTGGGGTTGTTTTTCAGGGGTTGGGCTTGTTCCAGTGTAGGGGTTGGGCCATTTAGTTCCAGTGAAGGGGAACTCTTAAGGCATAAGCATACCAAGACATTTTGGACAATTTCATGCTCCCAGCTTTGTGGCAACAGTTTGGGGGTGGCCGCTTCCTGCTCCAACATGACTGCACAAAGCAAGATCCATAAAGACATGGATGAGCGAGTTTGGGGTGGAGGAACTTGACTGGCCTGCACAGAGTCCTGACCTCAACCTGATAGAACGCCTTTGGGATGAATTAGAGTGGAGACTGCGAGCCCGGCCTACTCGTCCAACATCAGTACCTGACCTCACAAATGCGCTTCTGGAAGAATGGTCAAACGTTCCCATAGACACACTCCTAAACCTTGTAGACAGCCTTCCCAGAAGAGTTGAAGCTGTTATAGTGGCAAAGGGCCAACTCAATATTGAACCCTACGGACTAAGACCGGGATGCCATTAAAGTTCATGTGCATGTAAAGGCAGGCGTCCCAATTCTTTTGGCAATATTGTGGTGCCCATTGATGATTTTGAAGACTGCAATAAGGTCAGTTCTTCAGCGCCTTTTTTCTAAGTAATATGTTGAGTTCTTGGAGGTGGTCCTCATAACTCAGGCTTTTTATGCCTTTAAATAATTTTGTGGCCCTTCTTTGAACTCTTTCAAGTTCGAGGGCGTCTTTCCCGAGATTTGGCGACCAGAACTGTACCGCATACTCAAGATGAGGCTGAACCAATGACTTATAAAGTGGAAGTATTACTCTTTTATCCCTTGCTACAATCCCTCTTGTAATGCAGCATAGTATCCTGTTAGCTTTGCTGGCTGCTGCTTGGCATTCGGCAGCTGTCACCTATTCAAGTTAATGATCAGGTGACAGCAGTTGCATGTAAACGCCTGCACACCACATCTAATATGTGATATGATTACATTCGGTTAGGATTCAATCACTCTCCCTGGATGCAGTGATTGTGCATCCAGGGAGAGTTTTCTAAACGCATGTAATATCACATATTACATGTGGTGTGCAGGCGTTTACATGCAGCTGCTGTCACCTGATCATTGACTTCAATGGGTGACAACGGCCGCTTGCAAAGACCAGATTAGGGATTCCTGCTGCAGGAAAACACAAGTTCCTGATGCAGGACTCCCTAATTGCACCTAAACCTACAATCTGAATGGGGGCCTTAGTGTGCGTATTAGGGTCCATAGTACCAAACCGGATATAGTTACATATTTTATTTTAAAGTATGAAATTTGGTGAGCGGCCCCCATGGGAAAAACAAATTTGTTTAGTGGCCCCCGAGGGAATTGAGTTTGAGACCCCTGGTGTACTTTGTAGGACTGATTACATTGCTTACGAGGATTGCAAGCAGCAAAGGCACTGTTGACACACTACAGAAGGCTAAAGAAGAGCTCTGGGCTCATTTTTGTCTAGGTGTTAAAAGTTATACTTACCCGCAATGCCAATCCGGCTCCCTGCTTCTCTGGTCACTGAAGTCTCTCCCCTCCTACACTGCAGCATTTGAATGTCCCTCAATTCTATACACAATGTATAGAATGTGATTTACAGGACCTTAGACCGCTGCAGACGAGGGGGAGAAAGGTTGGAAGGACCTGTCTTAGAGCAAGGCGGGTCCAAGAATCAGGTAAGTATAATTTTTTTTAATTTTTCCCTAACCTAGACAAATACGAGCGAACCCTTTCAGTGTTGTGGTAGCTAAACTGCAAGGGTTAGGAAAAGTTCTGCCCAGAGTTATGCTTTAAGAGCTCCCTGGACTACTGATGGATCAATAGGTATTTTTTTACTAAAACATGAGGAAATGTGAATATATTGGAGAGATTATTTATTTTACATTTCTTTTAGTTTTCTTGAAGTGTAGCCACATAGTTATTTTCATTTCTACAATTTATGCATCATATACAAACACTTCATTGGTTTAGGAATATCTGATCAACTGGCTAGATCATTCCATAGAGCTGAAAATAATTCAGGGACTTTTGCACATATTTGGTAAACTTAAAGTGACATTAAACCCTCAGATTTTTTAACATAAAACAATACTGTAATGTGTGCCTTACTGTAATCCATGGTAGTTTCCCTTCTCTTTGCTGCTCTTCCTTTTTAAATCTGTATCTGTTCTCATGCTGGGCAGAACTTCTGTTTTGCAGCAGACTGCCTTGTCTCTGAAATGGATACATGGTGTCTGTGTGTAGGTTCACAACCTGAGCCAGCACTACAGGAAGAGGCACTCAGCTGCAAAGGGAAGTTCTCCCCCAGCATGAGAAGACATGAGGATTTAAAAGGAAGAGCAGCAAAGAGAAGGGAAACTACCATGGATTACAGTAAGGTACACATTACAGTATTGGTTTATGTTAAAAAATCTGAGGGTTTAATGTCACTTTAAATATCTTAATGCATGACCGAGGGAACCTAGATACGGATGCTGAATGTGGGATACAACCCCAGGGCAACATCTATTTATATATTTACAAAGTGGATTTTGTATTTAAAGCAACCTTTAGCTCCTTTCTGACTACGTTAAAACAAATCATTATGGGAGTGCCATTGCCAGGCTTCAAAAGCCTTTCAACACCGTTCCAATAGTCCAAAAAGTGCTGACGCCACATCTTGTTATAAGTTACTGCCAGCGCTTGCATTGTGATGGGCATTTCAATTCTCATAATGGTTTCATCAAGAAAGCTGCTTTTAAAATATTTGTGAAATCTTGCTGTACTCTGTAACTTTGTTCATGCTAAATACTGTATATACAACACCATAGGAATAAAATTGTAATTTACCAGAAAGGATCACTTTACATAGCTACATTTCTGTAATAAGATTTTTTCTTCTTCTCCGCAGGCTTACGCATCCGGGTGTGATGTGGTGATTTTGGGAAGTGATTTTGAGAGGCTACAAGTGATCCCTGGGATTCAACATGGAAATGTTCTGGTTGGCTGTGTGGACTGTTCCATGCAACAGGGCAGGGTAGGAATGGTTCATATTAATATCTAATAAAATATTTAACTTTCTTTACCACAGCCAAGTAAATACAGCATATGCCATATATTGGTAATCTTTGTGTGAAATAATAGAATTATTGGTATTCCCGGTTTTACAATTGGTAGATCATTTTGTGCTTTTTTTTTTTTTTCCCTTCATGTGACAGATGCTGGTCTGTGTTTTTGCATTAGTCTCATGATTATGGGCATCCTCTCTCTGTACTTGTATCTCAACTGACACAAAATGTAACCACAGTGTGATTTTGATATGAACAGCAGTCCTTTCTTTGAGAAACACATACTATTCATAGGGTTCTCATGTCTCTAACATCATGAAATGTGGAAGAATTGAATTAGGAAGAGTTAAGTATGTGATGAGCCAAATGTACTTGGGTTTCTCATCAGAATATGTTATAGATTTTGGGGAGGGGTACCCATGCTGCTTAAAAAAAAAACAAAAAACCCCAAGCTAGCAGCAAAATGACTTTTTCTGAAAAGGGCATTTGGTTTCTAAACAAAATGTCATGGGGGGGGGGGGATAAATAAAATACCCCATCACCCTCCTCCCCAACTTGAAGACTTAAAGAAAACTTAAAGATGTTTAAGTTTGACAAGTCCTTGATTAAAAAAAAAAGTCCCACGGATCAAATCCATCATTAATCGCTTCGTCCAGCGATGTCGATTTTTTACTATTGTCCTCCTGTGACCTAAAATCATGAAAAGGTGGGCTACTGCCTTCTATATTCTGACAGCGCATAGCCATGTCACAGTCGGTAAGGATTCCATCAATATTGTCGGGATCCACCCCACTGCCTGATACATCTGGCTCTGCCTTTCTAGATCCAGAGCCACATGTGCCGTCTCCCTTCCATGAGTGCTGGAGGAATGGAGAAGGGAGGGTGAATCTCTCTGCTGGGAGCGGTAATTGACAGCCACTGTCTTTGCAGAGTGATGATTGTGAGCTGAACGAGCAGCAGTCACACAATCATTTAGCTCTCGATCTATAGAGCTGGTGTGTGGCAGCTGCAGTGTCAAATGCCAGCCCCAACTAATGAAGGGTATGTCTCTCAATGTTTCTCTTTCTTTAAAGATCAATTACACTCCAATATCTTTATACCAGAGATGTGTAGCAGCCTTGAGATTTTCCTGTTGATCTTTTGTAGCAGTATGCATATTTGTTTCCATAGCTGGCTACCCAGGGCAGCTTTAAGGTATAATTAAAGCCTCCAGTGTTTTTTGCATAGATCTACCACTAGCAAGCAGTAGATGTATGCAAAAAGTAAAAAAAAAATGCTTTGAAAAGGGTAAATACTTACCTGTGTCTTCCCCACGCACTCCAGTCCGACAAATGTGAAAATTCTCGGGCGGGCGCATGCGCAGTTAAGATTTTTGGACGGGAGATGAGGAGAGACATAAGGTAAGTCTATGGACGCATGCACCCACATGCAGACACTGTGGGACTGGAAGTGCCTGCAAGCAGAGAGGAGTCGGCACTGGATCGGAGACCCACCGCAGCGCCGGAGGGACAGATGAAAACATCCGGAAAGAAGATCGGATTAAGAGACATACTTTAAGGTAAGTGCTTTAATTAACATTGGGGGGAGGGGAAATTAACTTTAATGTCACTATATATCTGGTGGTTCATGATCATTACCAGTTGCATGAGAACTCGAGTAGCTACTGAGGCTGGCGATCCTGTAGCTGGCTTGATATGTAGCAAAAAGTCACAATCGCTCACAAACGCAGATGACAATTCCTGGAATTGCTGTAACACAGACTTTTCGCTGACTGCAGTTCAATTTTCAGCAGAAAATCCAGCTAATGAAAGAAATTCTGTAATATCATTGCTGCTGTTGTTTGTGTGACATGGCCCCAAGGCAGGGTGAGCACAGATAACGCGTTATTCTGGATTTCTGTCTTAAATCTGCTGATTTGAATGTTAGTGATGAGTTACCTGCAGAAATGTAGCTGTTTTGCCTGATCTGGTCGTGGATGCATTACTGCAGCTGTCTAAGTTTTATACCTAATAAACAACCAGAAACATAACCTATGAGTCACCGGCCTCAAGGTAAATCCCAATATCTTTATTAACATGTATGAAATGAGACTAACTGTGCACATGAAGTAAAATCACTTAAACATGGAATATCAACAGTTCCCTTCTCTAAAGATATGTACAATGAGTAATCACTCATATGACTGCATTACACATACCAGCACCACCCAGTAAGGAAATACATCCATTCCCCCTGATTGCTCAAATCCAGTTTGATAACGGCGAGCCTATGAGGTTGCTGTATTTGTTTTCTTTTTTCTGTAAGTACCTCTTGAGCTTGTCAAAAATGCAGAAATGTCTTTTTCACTACCTGTAAGTTGAACTGGAAACATAAAACCGTCTGATCTTCCTTATCTACACTACCAATCCTCCAACCCCTCATGTAATGCATATGAGCAGAGGCAGACATGCTTGGAAGTCCATGTATTGGAAGGGTCATTTTGTAAAATGACCAGACAAAAATGAAGAGAACCTGTAAAAAAGAAAACTAATGCAGCTGCCTCATTTAAGGACTGGTATGCTGAAATATACTAAATGTTTTGTTTTTTGGTATAGATACACTCTCAAATGTCTGTCAACCCTTTTAGTCTGTAAGTTCATATTCACGTTCAGCATAACATCATTAAACATGCCAATTCAATTACCAAAAATGCATGTTAAATAGCCTTTCTTTTTTTTCTTTTTTTATTGGTGGACATTTTACTGTTAAATGAGAACTATGGGGTCAGTGTTTTTCCCCATAGTTTTCCTTGGGGTAACGGAAGGACACAAACTAGCGTCCTCCCGTCACCCTAAGCTCAGTATACCGCGAGCTACAGCTCGCGGTATACTGAGACGCCGCACCTGGAGCGGATCCCGACTTAGATGACGGGATCCGCCCAGCTGCGTGAATGACAGCTGGCTCTGCCTATCTAGAGGCAGAGCCAGCTGTACCCACCCCCTCCCCTGTCCGTTCCGCCAGTCAGCGCTGGCAGATGGGAGAGGGGAATCCAGCCCCTCCCCCTGTCACGGCAGAGAGCCGTGACAGGATAGAGAGGTGAGGGAACCCGGTATGTGTTCTCTCATCTCCCGATCTACTGAGCCGACCTGTGACAGTCTCATTGTCACAGGTCGGCTTAGAACTATGAAGTGAGTGGAAATCACTCATGTCATAGTTCTCCTTTAAATCCTTTCTTCCTCCCTGAGCTCTAAGGGTTTGAGGAGGCAGAGACTCCAGCCTTCACTGACATTAGCGATACCTGTCAGAAGCCATGGTTGATGAGGCTCTGTGGGGCTGGGGGTGAGGCTTGTCAGTCTGTGATATCGTAGGCCGACAACGGGACCACAAGCAAACTGTGTGTTGACAGAAGCTTCTGTAGATGCCATGGGAAGGAGAATTCATCTAAAGTCGCCATTCTAGCTCAGTTCTACTTAATGACGTGTTTCATTTTGAACCCTGATTGTGTATAGAGTGTAATAATATAATAAAACATCCTGCTGTCTGCCTACCATTTTGTTGTCCCAAGCATCTGCTTTTGTGGCCTTTCCACAAATCCAGGTCCTCCCCTGTGAGTTGGTATGTTAGGAGAGGTTCTTGAAAGAAATTGTCAATGCATCCAATGCACCCACACACCTTCCTATAATGACTTATAGGAGCCTTTGCGGGACAGGATGATGTTCATTGTTAGTTACTTTGACCGTACCTGTCACTAGCACCCTGAACAATATCCATGCTACCTATTCCTGGGTCATATAGACACAATGTTGAATTCATATGCTGATTGGGATGGGTGTAGAGACCGAACTATACAGAGGGGCCATGATGAGGCAGTGTGACTTCCACATGGATTTGCTAATATATGCTACAAACACCTCTGTCCTTAATACATCGGAGGGCATTTATCCAACAAATTAATACATAGTAGGACATTCATCCAGCAAATTAGTGATAAATCATGCTGCTGCTCCTTCAGAAAAGTCTCTGACAGGTTTACAGACCTTTTTTGCCTTCTTTTTTTCCCTATTAAAGGAGAACTATGAGGTGAGTGCTTTTCACTCACCTCATAGTTCTAGCCGACCTGTGACAATGAGACTGTCACAGGTCGGCTTAGTAGATCATGAGGTGAGCGAATACATACCAGCGTTTGCTCAGCTCTCGATCCTGTCACGGCTGGATTCCCCCTCCGATTCGCCAGCGCTGACTGGCGGAACGTACAGGGGAGGGGGCGGGTACAGCTGGCTCTGCCTCTAGATAGGCAGAGCCAGCTGTCAGTCACGCAGCTGTGTGGATCCAGACATAATTGTCGGGATCCGCTTCAGCTGCGGCGTCTCAGTATACCGCGAGCAGCAGCTCACGGTATACTGAGCCTAGGGTGACGGGAGGACGCTAGTTTGTATCCTTCCGTTACCATAAGGAGAACTATGGGGAAAAGCCTTAACCCCATAGTTCTCCAAGTCCAGTTTGCAAAGTTCTGAGACAGATTTAGTACTGAAAATGTGACAGATTTTCACTCTAAACAGACACATAATTAAGAAGTGGTTGGGGTCCGGTTCTATTCTGTCAGTGTTCCTTCAGAGCGGCTCAGGGAGGAATTTTTGACTCAACCCTTTGGCTGTAACCTTGTAATCTGTCCCCTACAGTGTTTGAGTGCTGTCTATTTCTTTCTTTTGGATTTGCACCGTTTGCCACACTCCCTTCTATACTGACACTGAACAACAGTGTGTGTGTGTGTGTGTGTGTGTGTGTATACAGTCACACATTAAAGCAAAACTCCAGGAAAAAGATATTTACACACCACTCTGGCTATGTGTTATGGGTGGACGGCTGCTGCAAAGTATAAAAGGGAAAAAAAGAAGAACTTGCCCAGCAGTATGCCGTTTCCTTCCAGGAGTATGAGATGCAACTCGAGCAATGAAGTGCTCTATTCGAATCACTCTCCCCTCCCCGATACTTGCCCATTCATAAAATACCTTGTACATTTTTTCTTCAAAAAAAAAAATACAAGACATTGTGTGATTGGGGGAGCAGAGATGTTGCACCCCCTCCTCCCTAGGTCCCAGTTAAAGTGTGGTAGAGGTGCTAGACTGGGCTGTGTGTTTTTTAGCTTGGACATGGCTGTAGTGTCTGGCAGGGGTTGCTTGGTCACAGAACTGTTTGAACGGACTTGCAGTTAAGAAAGCTCACACATTTTTGTTCCCTTTCTCCGTTTTTTGCAGATTTTCCTGCGCTTGCTTAGTTTTGAATGTTTATAACATGTCTTTACATCAGGTTATATCAGCCTTTTGATTTTTTATTTTAGTTACATTTTCTGTCTGTTTTACAGTGCAGTCAAGCTTTGGAATAATAAAACAGAACAAACAAAATTGCAGTAGGTTATTTCCTTAGAGTGTATTTTCAATAAAAACTATTGTGCCTTCAAATGATTAAAGGCTTTTTTGTCTTCCCTTTCATGCTTGTTATATACCTGAAAATTTCCCTTCATAGTGTTCTGGTGATTACACATTGAGTGGAATTCATCAAAACTGCAGCAGACAAAGTCTGGAGCAGCTGTGTATGGCCACCAATTGGCTTCTCTCTTTCATTTTCAAATCTTAACTGAACAGACTCAAGAGAAGCCGATTGGTTGCCATAGGCAACTGCTCCAGATTCTTCTGCTCCAGTTTTGATAAATTCACCCCATTTTGTTTTATTTTTGCCAGTAAATTAGTAAAATGATGAGTAACCCACTAATCTGTGTTTGACTAGCAAGTATTGGGGCATTTCTGAAAACCGTGCATAGAAACTGGCTACATATGACCTATATAAAGTGTTCAATCTGGGGACCACAACATTTTGGTATATATTAAAGGAGAACTATGACATGAGTGATTTCCACTCACCTCATAGTTCTAAGCCGACCTGTGACAATGAGACTGTCACAGGTCGGCTCAGTAGATCGGGAGGTGAGGGAAAACATACCGGGTTCACTCACCTCTCGATCCTGTCACGGCTCTCTGCCGTGACAGGGGGAGGGGCTGGATTCCCCTCTTCCGCGCTCCGATCTGCCAGCGCTGACTGGCGGAACGGATGGGGGAGGGGGCGGGTACAGCTGGCTCTGCCTCTAGATAGGCAGAGCCAGCTGTCACTCACGCAGCTGGGCGAATCCTGTCATCTACGTCGGGATCCGCTCCAGGTGCGGCGTCTCAGTATACCGCGAGCTGTAGCTCGCGGTATACTGAGCTTAGGGTAACGGGAGGACGCTAGTTTGTGTCCTCCCGTTACCCCAAGGAGAACTATGGGGAAGAACACTGACCCCATAGTTCTCCTTTTAACCCTTTTGCTGCGACCAGTGTAAGGCAGATGTGGAACAGAAACGTCAGCTGGTCAGGTCAGTATGTCTTATGTCAGGTGCATTCTCCCATGCTATAAACTTATGATCTCTTCAGCAACCATGATCTTATAACAGAAGTGTCCACTGGACTCTGCAGAATAAAATAATTGCTGAGATCAGTGGCTGACAAGTCTTTGAAAAATGTGAGAACCCCCCCGGCCTGT